CCCTGTCTTTGGATTCCCTTAGATATAATAAGGCCTAAGTATTTTACCTCAAGGCTACAAAGCTGTGCCTTAGACCTAGAAACACTATAACCTCTGTCTGTTAGAAAGTTCAGCAGAATGCAGGTGTCTTGGCTAGAAAGCTCTTCTGAGGGGGCATTATAACACTGCACCATCTACATATTGCAAGACTGATGGGAAAAACTATAGTATTCCCTTTTATCAAATCAGGATCTAGGGATGTCCTCATCTCTTTCTGATAAATAGTTGACAATTTAAAATAACTGAAGGGCTTAGTTCTCATGTTTCTTAGACCTTTAAGAATACATGCTTGTGGACTGCCCAGCCACTTGAGGAGCTAGGCTGCTCCCCTACCCTCCAGTGCCCTGGGCTTGTGAGGACTGCCCATCTGCAGCATTTCCTCATCCCTGTGCTCTTGGGCCTCCTGGTTTTGCAAATACCTGGATCCACACTGCAGAGGCACAGGTGGTCATAAAGGCCATTGTACTGAGCTTCAGAAGATGGATCAGAAGTGAATAACTGCAATAAAGTCACACCAGACCTCTATAGTTGGTAAGTTGAAGGGATCACCACCTTCCATAAGAACCTGGGCTATCTTCAGGGGATGGGCAGCTGGAACCTGCAGTAGAAACTTGCAGAGTTCAACCCTGCAGGAGGTCAGGGAGCTCAACTTGGGTGTTGCAACCAGAATTCAGCCTGAATCTCAGGGGTTTGCCTTTGACTTGCTGAGACTAATTGACTTAGTTCTGCATATTGCTGCCCACATTGTCTATTGTGACAGCAGAGATATACCCTGAAGGAAGCCTTTCAATTTTTTTTCTTTCTTTTCCTCTTATTTTTAAAACTTTATTTTTCCCCACTCTACAAATTCTTCCTTTTTTCATTTTTCTTTTTCCCACTCAATCTCTTGCTCCCCCACATTGTTCTTCATCTCCCTTTTTCTTGTTCCTGCCCTAATTTGGATATCTTTTTTTTTCTATTTTCTTTTCTCTTTTTCATTCTCTGGATTGTCATTAGTTTCAAAGGAAGGTGAGTAAAATTTATAGCTTCACTACTACTGTTGAGTTATTCTGTTCTTGTCTTTGTTCTCACACTCTGTCTTTCCCACTTGTCTTCAACAGTTTCCTAGAGTTTGCATGATCATCCTGTGTTCTCTGTCTTTACTTGAAACCTTCTCCTGTCCTTCTACCTATTCCTCTCCTCCCAACTCCTTTTAAGTCCCCATCCTGAAGGGTAAAGTTGCTATACTGAAGAGTTTATTCACTATAAAAATATTTTGGGCTGGTCTTTGATTTTGAGTTAATTCACATGGTTAAAGATGATATTAATAACTACCACAAATTGTCAATTTTTAAGCTGTGCTTGATGCTATTATGTTGCTGATTACATCAATTGGGCTAAAGGGTTGTGATTGACTTAACAAGTTGTCCTGCCTGATATTATGAAAATGAGAGAGTCTCTGAGTTATTAGAGACTCAAAAATCTAAAGAGCAGCTATATCAGGCAGTTCGAAGTACTAACCCAGGAATTAAACCAAGGACAGTTCCAACAACAAAAGTAAAAATGAGAAAACACTTAAGCAAGGCACAAATACAGACTTCCAGCTCACTAATGACAAATTTTATGGGGAAAAAGGTGGAAAAGCCTGACAATCAACCACTAGGACACCCTGAACTCACAGCACAAGATGTAACAACACAGATCAATCAGGCCCTAGAAAAATTCATAACAGAAACAATTTCCCAGATAACTACAGAGATGGTGAGCACAATGAAATACATGATTAGAGACTCTAGAACAGATACAGACAAAAAATAGATGAGTTTGGGACTGTGATAGAAGCCAGGAATGCCCAGCATAGGAAAGAAAAGGAACCCATGAAACAGATTCAAACAGATAGCCAAGAGATTAAAAGCTCTACAAAAAAGAATTCTCAGCAGAATGAGCAAATGTGAAGATAGAATTTCAGATATAGAAGACAGGATTTTGGTCAGTGACCATGAAAAGAGAGGCCTCTTAAAAACAGTTAGGGATCATGAGAAATCGATCCAACAACTCCTAGATGATGCAAAGAAGAATAACATAAGACTGACAGGAATCCATGAAGTAGCAGGAGAAAGTCCAGATGATGAAACACACACACACACACACACACACACACACACACACACACAAAACTATTCACAGAATTCATAAAACAGAAAACTTCCCAAACAGAGGGGAAGAATTTGACGAACAGATAAGTGAGAAACATAGGACTCCAACTAGCCATGATAAACAAACAAACAAACAAAAAAACACAAAACACAAAACACAAAACACACACAGAAAAAGCCACAAAAAACTACACCTAGACATATAATAGTTAAGAACCTGGAAATCCAACAGAAGAACAAAATATTGCAAACAATTAGAGACAAATCACATGCCAAGGAAAGCCCATCAGAATCACAGCATACTTTTCAACACAAACCCTCAGGTCAAGGAGAGCCTGAAGTGGGGTATTTCAAGCCCTAAAAGAAAACAACCTCCAACCTAGATTGATGTATCCTGCAAAACTCTCTTTTAAAATGGATGGGGAAAGGTACAAGATCCCCATGAGGAATGTAGCTCTACTGTATACTTAAAAATTACCAATATACTCAATTAAAAAATAAATAAAATGGATGGGGAAATAAGATACTTCCATCACAAAGAACACCGGAGAAACTTCATGAATACCAAACCAGCACTCCAAACAATTCTAAACAATATCCTGGAAAAAGACAATGAAGGTCACAACACCATGAGTCCCAACAAAGCAAATCAATTAAGCAAGGCAAGAAACTAAAGGGAGAAGGCAAGAAATTAAAAAGAGCCAACAATGGGGCATTATAACCACCCATGTCAATGGCCTTAATTCACCAGTCAAAAGAAATAGACTGGTAGAATGGATTAAGAAGCAAAATCCAACAATATGTGGTATCCAAGAAACACATCTAGAACAAAAAGAAACTCATAGACTGAAAGTAAAAGGATGAAAAACAGTTCTCCATGTGTCAGGAGCCCAGAAAAAAGCAGGGGCAGCTATATTATTTGCAGACAAAGTAAATTTCAAAGCAAAACTGATTAAGAGAGACAAACTACATCCTTGTAAAGGGAACAATCCAAAAGGAAGAGATGACAATCATAAATATATATGCACAAAATATTAATGCATCAAACTTTACAAAACAAATATTAAAAGATATGAAAAACCAAATATGCACTAATACTATTGTAGTGGGGAACCTAAATACCCCGCTGTCACAAATAGAGAGATCATATAGACAAAAAATCAACAACAAAATACTAGAACTGAATGAAGCCTTTGAACAAATAGATTTAATAGATATCTACAGAGTGTTCCAGCCCACAAAATCAGAATATACACTCTTTTCACCTGCACATGGGTCATTCTCCAAAATAGGCCACATACTTGCTCATAGAACATGTTTAAATAAATGCAAAGGAATTGAAGTTATCCCATGTATATTATCAGATCATAGTGCAATTAAGCTGGAGATCAATAGCATAATAAAACCTCAAGAACTTCACAAACACATGGAAATTGAACAACACTGTCCTGAACAATCAATGGGTCACAGAGGAAATTAAAGAAATCAGTCAATTTTTACAAATAAATGAGATTGCCAATACAACATACAGGAATCCATGGGACACAGTGAAAGCAGTTCTACGTGGAAAATTCATAGCAGTGAATGCCCACATTAGGAAAATGGAGTGAGCTCAAATAAACAACCTAATGATGAATCATAAGCTCCTAGTAAAAGAAGAGCAAGAAAAACCAAAAGCTCATACAAGGGAGGAAATTATAAAGATAGAGCAGAAATCAGTGCAATGGAGACTAGGAGAATGGTACAAAAACTCAACAAATTGAAGAGTTGGTTTTTCAAAAGAATAAATAAAATCAATAAATCTTGAGCCAACCTTGTGAAAAAAAGGAAAGAAAAGTCTCAGATCCCTGCAATTAGGAATGAAAAAGGTGATGTCACAACAGATCCAGCGGAAATCCAGAGTGTCATCAATATCTACTTCAAAAATCTGTACTCTAATAAAATGGAGAACATAAAATAAATGGACAGATTTCTGCATACTTATGAATTGCCAAAGTTGAATGAAGATAAGAAAATTCTAAACACCCCAATTACAATCAGTGAAATTAAAAATATAATTAAATATTTACCAACAGAGAAAAGCACAGGTCCTGAAGGATTCACTGATGAATTCTACAAGACATTTAGAGAAGAACTATTGCCACTATGCTTTAAACATTTCAATGAGATTGAAAGGGAAGCAATATCCCCAAATTTATTCCTGAAAGCAAGTGTTACTTTGATTTCAAAACCAGGGAAAGACCCAACCAAAAAAGAGAGCTATAGGCTACTCTCCCTAGTGAACATAGATGCAAAAATCCTTAATAAGATACAGGCAAACAGAATACAGACAATCATGAGAAGATCATATACGCTGACCAAATTGGATTTATCCCCGCTTTTATTGAAGTGCAACAATCCAGGATGAATTTTAGATTTTGTTAAAAGTAGCCATGTCCATGAACTGCACATAGGTCTCAAAGGCAGTGATCTGCTCCTCCAGAATATCTGTTCCAACTTTATCAATTTCAACTGTATTTGCAGTTTTTAAATTCATATCCCACTGGAACTAGTTTAGAGAAGCCCCAGACCAAGCCATCTGCTCAAATGTTGTGGACACACTCCTCTAATTTTACCATATCTGTGTCATCATCCCAAGGTTTCACATCTAGCAAGATGGAATACTTGACAACAAAGGCAATTTTTTGGCTTTCTTAGACTCATACTGTGCAAGTAATTCTTCCCTTAGCTTCTTTGCTTCTTCACTTTCCTGTAAAGAAATATTGTAATATTTCACAAAGCTGTTGTTCCTCTGCTTGAAGATAGTGATGAGATCATCACAAACAATGGCTTTATCAGAAAATAGGAAACCCATCAGGAGCTCAGCCAAAAGATGGTGATTTGACTTTATTCATCATGTAACTCTTGAGTGTATTATTAACAGTAAATAATAATATATGCTAAAGTTCTCTGATTTTAATCTCTATTCTAATTAATTTACATTTTAATGATAATGCTATATATAAAAATGTAATAATTATATAAGGATCTAAAATAAAAATCTTGGTGGCCTTCAGACGTGGGGCTGGAAAGTGTGCACATATCCTGGGGAACAGTGGTGTGGACCAGAGCAGTGCAGCTGCAGGCAGAACCCAGCAAGGGCTCTGCCCTGACCCCAGAGGCTTGGGACTGTATGCCACACAGGAAAGAACTGCACAGGAGCACAAGCTTCAGCCAGAGGCCCACCCCATAGCATCCATGTTTGCATAAATCCCAGGGAGCAGTGGTGTGGACCAGAGCAGTGTGACTGCAGGCAGATTCCAGCCAGGGCTCTGCCCTGACCCCAGAGGTACATAGACCCAAGCCAAAGACCCACTCAGAAAAGAGCTATACAGGCACACAAGCAATAGCCAGAGGCTCGCCCTGATACCATTGGTAAGTGTTCAGATATCTTAGCCAGAATCCTGCTCAGACAACAGGAACAGGGGTGCACAGCCCTCAGCCAAAGGCTCTCCTAAACAACAGCTGCATAGGGGCCTAGCCAGAGGCATACTTAGATACCATTCCAAGTGTGCACAGGCCCCAGCCAAAAACCTGCCCAGACAACAGGTCAGCTCAGGGATCTAGAAGGCCACCATTCTGAAAGCAGAACTGTTGTACTGGTGAGCAACAGAAAAAAGGCTGCTTGGTGGCTTGCTGAAAATTGAAGATCACTGGATGAGCAAAAAGTTGAGGGGTAGGGGAAAAGAATGAAGGGGATGTAATTAATATGAAAAAATGAAAGAATGGAAACAAAGTATTTGTAGACAGGGAGGGGTGGAGGGGTTGAAGGGAAGGCAGGGAAATGGGGAAAAAAAATAAGAACCAAGATGGATTATGTAAAGGTGAAAATTTCCAATGATGAATGCCATTATACTGTATACTTTAAATGTACCAATATAATTAATTTTTTAAAAGTTGCCTCCACAAAGGCACAGCAGGCTGCATGTGTTGAAATGAGAAGACACATAAACAAGTCTCAAAACCAGACTTCCATATCACCTAAGGCAACCTCAAAAGAAAATGAGATGGGATAGTCTGTTACTCAACCACCTAGACTCCCTGAGTGAAAGAGGATCTGGAAAAAATAAAATCAGAAATCATTTCTCAGATAACAGCAGAGATTGTGTCCATAGTGCAAGACATGATTAATAAATCTACAGTGGACAGAGACAAAAAAAAAAATAGAGGAGCTGAGGAACATGATGGAATCCCAACATAGGAAACAAATGGAATCCATAAAACAGATGCAAACAGATTTCCAGGAGATTGAAAACTCCATTGAAAGTTTATGCAGCAGAATGAGCCAATGTGAGGATAGAATTTCAGATATGGAAGATAGGATTGCAATTAGTGTCCAGGAAAAGAAAAAATTCTTAAAAATAGCAAGGGACCATGAGAAATCAACCCAGCAGCTGCTACATGACTCAAAGAAGAATAGCATAAGACTGATCAGAGTCAACGAAGAAACAGGAGAGAGTGCAGATGACATTAAAAAAACTGTTCACAAAAGTAATGGCAGAAAACTTCTCAAATAGGGGAAAAGAACTTGACATACAGATAAGTGAAACATATAGGACTCCAATTAGCTGTGATTAAAAAATCTACATATAGGTATATAATAGTTAAGATTCCAACAGAAGAACAAAATTTTACAAGCAGTTAGAAGAAATAAACAAATCCATACAAAGAAAAGTCCAGAATCACAACAGACTTCTCAACACAAACCCTCAAGGCAAGAAGAGCCTGGAGTGATGTATTTCAAGCCCTAAAAGAAAACAGCCTCTAACCCAGATTGATGTACCTTGCAAAACTATCTTTCAAAACTGATGGAAAAATAAGATACTTTCATAACAAAGAGCATCTTAGAAACTTCATGAATACCAAACCAGCACTCCAAAAAATTTTTAATAATATCCTTGGAAAAGACAAGGAGGATCACAACCCCAGGAAGCCCAGCAGGATGCATCCATCTGGCAGGACAAGAAATTAAATGCAAAGGGGGAGAATCCAACAAAAAAAAAGTCATGGCAAGGATAAGTCAGTACATGTCAGTTATAACCATCAATGTCAGTGGTCTCAATTCACCAGTCAAAAGAAATAGATTGGCAGAATGGGTCAAGAAGCAAGATCCAACAATAGGCTGCATACAAGAAACACACAATTTAAAAAGAAACTCATAGACTGAAAGTGAAGGGGTGGAAAACAATACTTCATGGGACAGAAACCCCCAAATCAAGTGGATTTCAAACCAACAATGATGAAGAGAGAAAGAAGGACACTAATTCTTGTAAAGGGAACAATCCAAGAGGAAGAGATGACAATCATAAATATATACGCATAAAATACTAGTGCACCCAACTATATAAAACAAATACAAATGGATATGAAAAAATCATATAAGCACTAATACAATAGTAGTGGGGGACCTCAATATCCCACTGTCACAAACAGATAGATCAACGAGACAAAAAATAAACAACAAAATACTAGAACTCAATCAAATTCTTGAACAAATGAACTTAACATGTTCACAGATGGTTCTATCCTACAAAATCTTAATACACATTCTTTTCAGTTGCACATGGGTTGTTCTAAAAAACATACCTCATATTCACTCATAAAACATGTTTAAGTAAGTACAAAAGAATTGAGGTTATCCCTGTATATTATCAGACAATGCTGCAATGAAATTGGAAGTCAATAGGAAAATAAACCACAAGAATTTCATAAACACATGGAAATTGAACACACTTCTGAATAACCAATGGGTTACAGAGGAAATTAAAAAAGAATTCAGACAGTTCCTACCATTAAATAACAATAACAATACAATGTATTGGAATCTATGGGACACAATGAAAGCAGTTTATGAGGAAAATTCATAGCATTGAATAACATATTAGGAAAATAGAGTGAGCTAAATTAAGAAACCTGATGCTGAACCTCAAGCTTCTAGAAGAAGAAGAGCAAGGTAAATCCAAAGCTCATAAAAGGTAGGAAATTATACATATCAGAGCAGAAACCAATACAATGGAGATAAAGAGAATAACACAAAAAATTAATGAAGCAAAGAGTTGGTTCTTCCAAAGAGTGAACAAAATTGGCAAACCCTTAGCCAACCTTATATTAAAAAAAAAAGGTAAGAAAAGGCCCAAATCCATGCAATTAGTAATGAAAAGGGTGAAGTTACAATGGACCCAGCAGAAATCCCAAGCATCATTAATACCTACTTTGATAACCTATACACCAATAAGATGGAAAATACAGAAGAAATGGACGGATTCCTAGATATGTATGAATTACCAAAGTTGAACAAAGATGATCTGAATATTCTAAACAACCCAATATCAATCAATCACATTAAAACATAATTAAAAACTTAGCAACTAAGAAAAGCCTGGGCCCTGCTGGCTTCACTGCTGAATTCTATAAGACATTTAGAGAGGAAATACTCCCATTACTGTTTAAACTGTTCAGTGAAATTGAAAGGAAAGCAATACTCCTGAATTCATCCCTAGAAGCAATCATCACCTTCATCCCCAAAGCAGAGAAAGACCCAACCAAAAAAGAAAACTATAGGCCAATCTCACTAATGAATATAGTTGCAAAAATCCTTAATAAGATACTGGCAAATAGAATGCAAATAATCAAGAAGATCATACACCCTGACCAAGTGGGATTCATCCAGGGATGCAGGGATGGTTCAACAGATCAATAAATGTAATACACTATATTAATAGAGCCCAACAGATCAATAAATGTAATACACTATATTAATAGAGCCAAGGACAAAAACCATATGATCATCTCAAAAGAAACAGAGAAAGCATTTGACAAAATCCAATATGCATTTATGATAAAAAAACCTTCAAAAAAATTGGAACAGATGGTCTCTACCTCAATCTGGTAAAAGCCATAGGTGAAAAACCAACAGCCAATATCATACTAAATGGTCAAAAACTGAAATCCTTCACACTAAAATCAGGAACAGGATAAGGATGTCCACTATCACCACTCCTGCTCAATATAATTTTGGAAAGATTAGCCACAGCAATTAAATAAGAGAAAGAAATAAAAGGAGTAAAGACAGGAAATGAAGAAGTCAAGTTGTCATTATTTACAGATGACATGATACTCTATATAAAATACCCCAAGAACTCCACCAAAAGTCTTCTAGCTATAATAACCATATTCAGTAAAGTAGCTGGATACAAGGTCAACATACAAAAATCAATAGCTTTCTTGTACACAAAAAACAGACTTACTGAGGGAGAAATGGGGCAAACAATTCCTTTTACAATAGCATCCCCAAAAATTGAAATATCTAGGAATCACCCTAACCAAAGAGATCAAAGACTTCTACTCTGAAAAGTATAGCACTCTGAAAAAAGAGATTGAAGAGGATATCAGAAAATGGAAAGACATCCCTTGCTCCGGGGTAGGAAGAATCAACATAGTGAAAATGGCCATACTTCCAAAACTTCTACATACATTCAAAGCAATCCCCATTTAAATTCCAGCAGCAAACTTCATATTGAGAAAATAATCCAAAAATTCACTTGGAACAAGAAGACCTAAAATAACAAAAGCAATTCTAGGCAATAAAGACAATGTAGAGGGTATAACAACCCCCAACTTGAAACTATACTACAAAGCCACTGTGATAAAAACAGCATGGAACTGGCAAAGAAGCAGACCTGAGGACAGTGGAACAGATTAAAAGATGCAGAAACAAGTCCAGACACACTCAGGCACCTCATCTTCGACAAAGAAGCCAAACACCCTCATTGGAGGAAAGACCCTCTTTAATAAATGGTGCTGGAAAAACTGGGTTTCCACTTGCCAGAGATTAAAACTAGACCTATATCTCTCACCATGTGCTAA